GTACTTAAATAAATATTTAATCAGCAATTTAGATAATTTGGTTTTTGCCGGCAAAAACTCCAACCCTGGGATGAACATTTTTAAGTAGAGTGATGTAGTTGCTGACTGATGTAACTTGGATGTTTTTATACTGTTTAGATGTTTTTTTTTTACCTTATTCATCTCTTTTACTCTTGAAAACAAACAAATTATACTTGAAATTTTTTTATTTATTTTTATTATTTATTGGACAAATACAAAAAATTGTTAATGAGTTTATTAAAAATTACAATACTGAGCTGTACAACCAATGGTCAAAACTGGCCCAGAAAGTTTATGACTTGGTTTCTGAACAGTTTTAGTGGTTTACAGATTTTCAGCATTGGAAAAGATAAAAGTAGTGGTATTAGCAAGTTCATTTTTTCCCACAAATATTTTTACTGGTCGTAATTTGCTTATTCTGTTATCACTGCATAACTGAACTTGATTGTAACTTGTGTGAGTTAGTATAACTGTCAACAAAAGGGAGGTTATAACATCTAGTCTGGTAGGCATTTAAATAAGAATATATTGAGAAATAATAATTTGCTATATCACCATTTCTTACTACAAATAGTTAGAAAAATTACATTATTTTTTAGCTTACTATAACTACTTTGTTATAAATGTAGTTAATTACAAAGAGAATTACTATTTTTTTAATACAATGACTGCAAACTACTATTAAAATGTTGTAACTACTTCAGTATTTTAAGAAGACAAACTTTACATGGAAACTTATTTTACACCTATATTCAATTTGGTTTTGAATAATAGATGGGCTTATATTAAACATGAGGAATTCAGAAATATTTCAGCCAAGCAGGGAGAGCCAGCCATCCTTCCAAAAATGTTTAGGGAGAGAGCTAATGCAGCACACTTTTAAAAGTTTAAATAGAGTTTTACGATTAAAAATTTTTATTAATTTGTTCGAGATCACTGGCGTTTACTTTGAATGCAGATAAACTTATCCTCACGTTTGGACATTATTCTAGGTCTCCCTGATAGTTGGTGGCTCTTATTTTGGTCAGTTTCTTTCTTCTTTTGCAAAGTTCTAACAACAGTTTTCAGTTTTTAAGGGCAATTTGTCTACTTGAATAGCCTTCTCCATGAAGTGCAATAACTACTCCTGTTTATACACTTATATCTTGCATTTGATCCATATTTCTCTGTAATAAATTATATTGAAAAATTTTAACTTTGGTTTTTAATATTTCCAAGTTATTCATGCAAATTAAGGCTGTTATATCAATATTTTAAATGTGTTATGTGCATGAAATTAACTTATAATGAACTTTACAAAAGATGAAAAGTAAATTGTTTATAAACTAAAAATTAATGAATTTTTAAAATAAATTACACTTTTTTTAGAATAAGTATTTATGTGCACTTTCGTACTCAACTACAAAATAGATACAAAAGGAAAAAATAATTAACAGTTTTATAAATAATTAATAGCATTTTGTGAAGTTTGTTGATGTTCGTGTTTTATACATTACATGTTTAAGCCAGAAATATATAATTATTTTTTAAAGTTTTGAACAAGTAAGTCTAAACTTTTGACCGGTACTGTAAAACTAATTATTGACTAACCTTATTTTATTATTAACCTTACACTTGAAGTTCTTTGTATATCTGAAATCTAAGTCACTCACAAACATTTCATTTCTGGGAGGATGGCGAATTTTCCATTTGCGTATATAATGCATATCTGTCATTAATAAATTCGTTATCTGAAGAGTTATTAAAATCAGGATGGCTCCTGATTTTTCCAATCCTGAATTCCAATCTTTAAAACTGCTTGGCACAAAATCAAGAGTATCAATTTTATTAGTCAGGTATATCTAGATTATTGGCATGGTATGAACCATGATAGCATGAGCTTCAACAATCCAACTTTGTGCAAAAAGATTCCTACTGTGTACATCAACTTTCCTAAAAAGTATAGGCGCTACTCTACAATAATCACAAAACATTTTTATGAACCTCTTAAGTATGTAAGCAATTTTAGCTGACTCATATTCAGAATTGAGTGGTAGCGCTTTGCGCTCCTGGGTTCGATCCTTGGGCCGGGCAAGGTTGACTCAGCCTTTCATCCCTTCAGTGGGTCGATAAATGAGTACCAAGCATTTGAAGTTTGGTTATAAGTTCTTTCTTNTTCCCCTGCACTCCTGAGCCCAAGGTTAAGAAAAAACTGTAATGGGCACAGTAGGCCTTGGCCCTCTATGGGCTGTCGCGCCACTGAGTTTAGTTTTCATATTAAGAATACTTTTACTACAGAACTGTATCTAGTTGTTAAATCAAGAAGGGAATGGGTAAAGAACTTGTTAAAATTTCAGAATTGCTTATTGTTAAGTAATTCATAACAAAAATATCTTAGGACGAATTATTATTTTTTTGTAGGAAGCTTTGTCATGTTGTAATAAAGGATTGCTGAAAACCCCTCTACTCTTAAAAATATAACTAGTCTTTTAAGAGGGGAATTGGGAGTGACTTGAGGGAGAGAAAAGCATATCATTTACACAGACAAGTATAGGTATTGTTTCCGATGTATTTTTTCATGCTGATTCTAACAAGATAAATCACAAGATGATCAGATCAATAGTTTAGAAGTTAAAAGGTTTTTGTACTTGCACCTATTTGTGCAGATGAAATTGTTATGTAAAAAGAAAGGCATTGTTTCCTATTTTTCCCCCCTCTGAATTGAATAAGACTAAATACGAGTCAATAGATGTAATAGTTAAGAAAATAGTAGAAGTAATAGTTAGAAAAGTATTTTTGAGATGTACTTAAATACACACTTTACATTACTGTTTAGGAACTATCTGAAAATGTAAGTTACTGTTCCTGGTGCAATTTTTTGAGTTGAACTGAATGAAAACAATTCTGGGATGATGACTAACAGTTTAGAAGTTATAAGTGTTTTATACACATGCACTTTTCACATCTTACATTTCTATGCAGACAAGTGAGGTATTGTTTCCTATGTAATTTTAATTGATTAAGACCAAACTTGAGTCGATGAGTGTCAAAATAATAATATATCATAAAAAAGTTGAAATGGTTTTTGAATTGCACTTTTTATGAAAAAAATTCTTATAATTTCAAAAGTGTTATTTCTATTCAGTTTAGTTTCAGGAGTTTCTAATTCAATTCAGTATAAAAACTTTTATTTTAAAATATATCTTGCATGTTCAGATAGCCCTTAGATGGAAGTAAAATTAGTACTCGAGTTATGTTAAAAATAGTACTTTTAATACTTGAAAACGATTACAACTCCTGAAATATTATTTTTATTAATTCCTGNTACGTAGAAAACTTTTATATTACAATTTTTAATACTTGAAAACGATTACAACTCCTGAAATATTATTTTTATTAATTCCTGTAAAGTTTGATTTGATTCAACGTGAAAAAATTCATCATAAAAAATGTCGTTTGTCTAGAAGAAATACAATTCTCCCCATCAAGTGGCTCCTCATTTCCCTCAAAAAGGGAAAGCGTACAGAATAGAGTACAGGAGATTTCAGGTATCATTTCTGCTTTTATTTATTATGCGAAGCCTAATTTCACTGGATTATAAGCTTATTAAATTTTTTCGCACATATTTTTAAATGCTTAGTTTTTTATATTTTTAGAGTAAAAGAAATTTATTTTAAAACATTAAAATAGAAAAAGAATTTATTTATTTAGAACTTTAAATATTGAGTTTTAATAGCAACTGTAGAGTTTTCACCTTTTCATAACAAAAATTAAGAACTATAAAAATATAATTGGTTATCATCAAATATATCTATACCATCAGCATTGATAAAAAAAAGTGTTCTCTTTTAAAAAAAAAATGACTTATGTTGTATTGTGAGAAATTCTGTTTAGCTTAGTTGTGTATTTAAAAAAATGCTAATGCTTTTTAAAACTTCGAAATTGCTTAAAAAGTTAATAATTTTCTGTAATTACAAATTGAAGTACCTATTGCTTTATAGAATTTTTTTTCTTCTAAAAATACCCTTCAAGCTTAAAAAGAATTTTTTTTGCTACTTCCTTTTTTTTTTAAGCATTTGATTTAAGAAAGAGTGAAATGTTTTTTTCTTCTCTTTTTCATTGCAAGATATTCAGAATATTGTTGCCTAATTTTTACTCACACTTTGAAAATTTTTTTTCCATAGCTTGTTTTAAGCTAGTTTCCATCTCCCAGAATGCTCAAGTTTCTGTGCAGGGTCTTATTATAAGTGAAAGGAAGACAAAATGGATGGAATCAACTAGCAATAGTGGAAATAAAGAAATTTTAAAGGCCCTTAATTTTCAAAATTAAAATTAAGGACTATGTGAACCCTGAAACAAACTTCTTATTTTACAATGTGGGAAACCAAATGTTGAGAATAGTCTTTCCAATCCTCCCATTGAGCATATAGTGTTAAACAACTGTTAAATAATAACAAGGACATTTTCTTCAATATTTTAACTATCCAGATAATGAAGAAATGCCAGCATACTTGATTTTTCAAATTCATTTGAAAAAAGATTAGCATATGCAGTTTCAGTGGTTCCTAGTTCAACAGTCCTAGAGTTCCCTTCAAACATATATGAAGAGAATGGTGCTAACTTGGCTTGGTTATTTATAATTATGAACATTATTTCAGAATGCAGCATAGACCATTGTATTCTTTCGGCTAAAGCCATAATTTAAGTAATGCTTACGTTGCCATTAGTAGGCCAAAGAAAAATCAGGACATTTTGTGGAAAGGAATACATATAGTAGACTACTTTGAAAAAGGGTTAACACTAAATTAAAATAAAATTATAATTTACACTACTAATCAAATTTAAGAAAGGCAAATTTTATTGCAAAAGGACTATAAAATGTGCTATTTTTAATTTCAGAATTCAGTTTCCAGTGTAATTTTATAAATGGGGAGACTGAACTTGTTATAATTTGAGATTAATACGTAGAAAACTTTTATATTACAATTGCATTAAAGAAAAATAATAACCAGTATCAATTAGTTAATATTCTCTAATAATATGAATGCAATTTAAAGTTCGTAATCGAATTCAAGGCTATTTTAATCAAATAATTTTTTAATGGATTTCACCAATCTCATATACACTTATCAATAATTGTGAGACTACAGAACTCCATCCTACAAGATTTGCTATTGCATTAGCTGAAAATATAAACCAACCAATAAATAAATCTAAATATATTCAAGCATTCTTATTATTTTAGAATTAAATATCACATAAAGTAATCAGGAACAATAAAAGTATTTATTTTTTTAATGCTTTACAAATTTTATTTATAACCAGTGTTACAATTTACTTCTACACTATACGTCCAAGACAATTACACAATAAATGCATTTTTTCCCATGTACACATACAAATAAAAGGCATGGACCTCATTGAGGCAGTCTAATTTTGTTACAAAACATTAAATATTTTAAACTCAACATGCATAACTATACATACAAGTTGTAGTTTCTTTCCTTCTTTTAGATTAAATAAAACATCACATTTGCGAATTTTAAAAACTATTTGCGTCAGAAGTTTTATAAATACCAGTACAGAACTGTTTAAATATATTCATACTTCTCAAGGCATTCGGATGTGCTTAAATTTGCCAACTTCTCAGACATACTAAATGAATAAAAAGGTAACCAATAAATTCCCAAATAGCATTAAATTATTAATATTAAAATCTACACACATCAGATATTTATTTTTTTTACAGAAAGCACAGAAAAGGCATCAAAATAGGAACAATTTCAAATGTTTTCAATTTAATAAATTAGTATTTTATTAAAATGCAAACTATCACTTGGGAAATCAATAGTCTCAAAAGTGTTACTATTAACAGTTCATAATGGCTTAAATATATTCACGTTCCCTCGTAGACTTACTTAAAAAAAACAATGAATAAGAAGGGCATGAAATTCATGAATCGGTATAAATTGCTGATAATGAATAATATATATTGAGTATTTTTTTATTATCACAAAGTATAGAAAAGGAATAAAAATAGAAACAGTTTTAAATGAAAAAATAGAAAATCTTACAATCAATAAATTATATTTTCATTAAAATGCAAACCATTACTTGATTTGCATTGTTGTGAATAAATACCATTAAACAGGATAATATCAATATATGTAACACTCAATATACGCATAAGCGTGAAAATGGAATAAAATAATCAAATATAAAATTTTTTAATCAGTTTATTTTTAATACAAGGTCAAATAAAACAATTTTAAATATATTTATGGTTAAGAAAAATTATCTTTATTTTTCAATTCATCCGAGTTTAACAATAATTAAATTATTCAATTACTAAAGTAGTACTAAAATCTAATTTTGAAGTAATTAAACATACAACTTAGCTTTTTAATAAAGAATAGTAATAATTGTGCAAAAATTTTCATTTTAAGAGTAATGGTATTAAGTAGTGAGCCATACTTTTGAAACATCTGACTTCAATTACTGTTTGACTAGAACATAATTAGTTACAAATAATATGACTAGTTCTGAAAAGTTATAAAACACACTTAATAAATGCAATGTCAAAATTGAATACTACTGTAAAAGAATTTTAATATAACAAGGTACTGAAATACATGAAAGAAAGGTAATTTTGAACAAAAGGAAAAACAAACATCCAGAAGCAAACAAGTAACAGAAAAAGTATTATGAAACTGTTTTTTTTTTTTNTTTTTTTTTTTTCATATCAACTATTTTGGCCGAGGAAGGAATCCATATTTCTCTGGCTTAATCCAGTTTGAAGTCATAGCCTCAACCATATCATCTAGAGTTGCATCGACCTTTTTCCAGTCACTGCAAAGGAAAGGGTTGAAAAGTTAAAATAATTTAATTTCTGTTAAAATTAATAACAAAGACTAAAACCTGAATTCTGGTTACCTAAATACCCTTAATGCAAAAAAAACAAAAAAAAAAGATCTTTAACAATACCCAGTAGTAAAAACAAAAATTAAAGCAATGTTCTACATTCATCTGAGTTTGAAATTAATGTTATGTATGTAAATATGTTAAAATAACAAATAAATAAATAAAATAAAATTAATTGTAAGATTTTTGTTATCATTATTCTAATTTTAAATGGAGATAAATGCAAACTTACCTTTCAGAAGCATTTTCAATCATTTCGGTATAGTATTTCAATTTAGGTTCAGTACCGCTGCCTCTTATGGTCATCTCACACCCATTAGTGAAGTAAAATGTGATCATCTGAACACTTTTGCTGGCTGGCAACAGCTAATTAGAAAAAAATAGATATACATTTTTTTTTTACACTTGCGATTTGTTAAAAAAAAGAAGAAAAAACATGCAGGGATGAGAATTCTCAGTTTTTCTATTAATTTCCACTTTTTTATAATTTTTTCCCAGATATCCACTATAATATGAAAATAAAATCAATATCATGTAAACAGAATTTCTCATATCTCACATAAGAAGATTATTACCACCAAGAATTGCGTACTCAATCAGGGTGGCCACTCAAATCAGATTTCAAATTTCCCTGATTTTTCCAGGTTTTCCAGATAAAAATCTTAATATTTCCAGGTTTTTGTTTCTTTTTTCTTATAAAGTGTAGGATGTGTACAAGAAAAGTGTCTATATTATAAAATATTTTATTCAAAATGTTATTTTTTTTAACATATCTAGAAAAAAATAATTTATTTTGACAATTTGGCAAGATTTTTTTATTTATTTTTCAAATGTTTTCGTACAAAATTTTGAATCAAAAATCATATATTGACCAACAAAAGAGTAAAATGAAATATTAATATATAGTTGGTTCTTACAAAAAATTTTTTTTTTAATATATGTTATAAAAGGTTAAAATGAAATAGAAAAAATTAGCATTAATGCAACAATTGTAACAATTTGTCGACAAACATTGCTGTTAGTGATTGTAAAAAAATGTGTGATTGGTTGGTTTGCTCAGAAAAAATAATTCACAGATTTCTTTGAATAGGAGTAGAAAAGCTTTCAGAAAAAGAGTGCGATATAAAATCTATTATCATAAAATTATAACCAACTAATTTTTGGAGAATTTTATAAAGTTAAAAATACAAAAACATTTTGTCAAAATAGAAAAAAAAAATAACCACCAAAGCATCGGAACAAACTTGAGCCATAAATGGATTCAGCCCAAGGACAGAATTTAAAAACAGAAGCTAATATCCTAATCCCTTTTTCCACCTCCACCAGAATCTTTCCTAAATTGCACAGTCCCATAGCGGTCAAAGGTTTCTACATTCGTTTAGCAACAGTAGGAGAATTTTATGTGGCATTCTAGTTTAACAGCTGTAATGGAGCAAATTTTGATGCAAGCAAAGTATTGCTAAGTTGATGATATTTCAACTGTTTGGCGATACATTTCCGTTAAAAAAAAGTGGGTATAATGGATGAAATAATTTAGCTTAAGAAAATTAGTAAATAATTTAAATTAGTGAAATTAAAAAAATTATCAAAGAAAAAATTTCCAGCTTTTCTTTAAAATTCCCTGATTTTCCAGGTTTTTATCCAAATTTCCCTGATATTTCCAGGTTTTTTCCAGTATAAAAAAAATTCCCTGATAATTCCAGGTTTTCCAGGTGGGTGGCCACCCTGTCAATTTCAGAGTGCGCAAAAATTTCAAATTTTTAGATGAAAGAAATTGAATGAGAATTTTGAAAAATTGAGAAAAAATAGTCGCAGCTAAAGTTTGTTGTAAAGTGAAATTTTAAAAACTACACGGAAATCCCAAACTGTTCAAAATACGATTGAATAATAAAATGTGATATTGTCACAAATCGAGAGCATTAAAAAGTAATTCTTCAAAAGCTTGATTCGAAATTTCCCATGTTGGATAATGTAGCATTAAAAAACTATGAAAATCAGTAGCAATAATTGACAAAAGTGCAATCGTAAATCCACATGGGATTGGGGGTAAATAGTCAATAATTGAGTGCAAAATGCGTAATAGTTTGCTAAATGAAATAAAATTCATATGAAAACATTAAGATTTAAAAAACAAAAGTAAAAAAGTGATTACTAAAATACAAAATTCACTAGTCATAATATATTAACTATATCCGAATTAGAAAAACCATCAGAAATTGCAGCAAAATGACAAACACCTGTCGAAAAAAAAGATCCATAAACGACGTGGATTTACAATAGAAACAACATGAATTGAACATGAGTGACCATGTTTTTACATGGTCACTCGTGTAAGTGACAACTTAAATTTGAAATACATGTTGTCCTAATAACATTGCATAAAAATATTAAAATAAGAAAAAACAGGTGTAAATGACCGAAAAAACATTTGGAAAGCAACACGGATTAACAATAGATTCATTGTGATTAGAACATGTGAAAAACTCAAACTTCACGTTTTGTAATAACATATTAAAAATATAAGAATTTTAAAAAAGCAATGACAAAGGACCGAAAAAATTATAAATAACTGCCGGAAAATAAATCATCCAACAATGTGGAATTATACTCGAATCGTCATAAACTAACTTGTCAAATAATGACAACTCAAATTCTAAATTTGAATGTCATAGTAACATCCTATTAAAAATATGGGAAATTGAAAAACCATGTGAAGAGATCCTACAAAGATGAATATAAGGAGAAAAATTTCTTTTAAAAATTCAGCAAAAAAAATCTCATCCTTCCTTATAGTTCAAAAACAAAGTTTTGCACATTTAATTTCAGAAATATTAAGACAAGTTTATTATAGGCATAAATCACAGAACATGTTAAGGGAAACAATTTGGATATAATAAATAAATTTGGAGGCTAAAGAATTCTCTTGAAGATCTAAAAATATCTAAATGTTAGAAACATAATCTGCCGATTCTATTGAATCTATTTGAAACAAAGATATTTTTTAGAGGGTTACAAAAGAGTATTTTTTAAAAAGATGAGTTTTATTAATTTCAAAGATTTTTTTAGATTAGTTTAACCTAAATAAAGTACTACATATTTTCGAACATTGGCATAGAATGTTTGGAAAACTTTTAAGAGCTAAAGAAGTAGAAGTCAGCTAATTGGATTCTCAAACTTCCCAGCCAAATTATTTTCTTACTGGTCAAACGTAAGTGATAAATCAAAAAAAAAAAAAAAAAAAAAAAAAAAAAAAAAAAAAAAAAAAAAAAACTATGTAAGCACAAAAGTTGAGATGGCTGAAAAGTTGAAAGTTATTCACTCGGCATGTTGAAATTTAAATTTTGCAATCTCTTGTATATTGTTTTTTAAATTTTCTAAGTAAAAGCATTTTTTCGGCTTACATACGGATGGGATTATAATTGGAAAAAGAGTAGATATTAAACTTAATAACTAATTCTTCTTGAATGCTCTCTGAACATTAAACTATTCATTCTGTTAATAATATTTTAAATGTATATAATATTCCAATGCATAGAAGGTTTTGAATTTAAAACATGCAGAATACATTAGAATAGTACTTTAATGATAACCGCAAAATGAATGATTCAAAAATAAATATTATAATTACTGATTTTTGGTTAGGTTGAGAACTATCATATCCTGTAGTAAGATCTCTCACATCCTTAACTTCATACGTCATTGTTTTCGATTTCAGAGAACTTGGGTACTAAAAATATAATTTACATCTATAATACATTATAAAGAAATTAATTTTTAAATACAAAAACTCTGCCTTTTTACAACACAAAAAAGATAATGAGCAAGATAAAAAATATAAAGTATAATAAACAAAATTAGAGGAATGTAACTGATGGATATAGACTGTGATTCTGGTGAAAATTTTGATTACAGAACTTGCTCACTGATGTTTCAGTAGAATTGCTAACTGCAAATTACAATGCTAAAAAGTTTGTTCATACACATAGCCCACCTTACAAAGAAACTATCTGGTATTTGCAAACTAGTAGTTAAGTTTAACAACGAGGTAAGAGCTTCAACTCAAGACCACNCAGGGTCTCATTCTAGGCGAAAGACGTACTTTTTAATTGTGGATATTTTCCCAAGATAAAAAAATTGTTCCAACCAACTAGCTATACTAGGTATTAAGGACTTTTAAGGACCGTGAATCAAAATTAAGTACTTTTAAGGGCCCTTAATTTTCAAAATAAAAACTAAGCAGTTTTTAAGGACTTTTAAGGACCGTGGGAACCCTGTTTTACCCATGACCCATGTATGAAAAAGAAGTGTTGGTCCCGAAAAAGACTTTTTTTCTTATGCCAAAGGCATCATTGGGACAAATGAAAAAAAAAAAAAAATAAATAAATAAAAGAGAAAGAAAAAAAAGAGAGAGAGATGAAAAAATTGTAACTGCAATTAAAACAAATAGTCACCTTCAAAATAAGAGTTAATTTTGCGAGTTTCAATTAAATTAAAGCATTAATAATTCTAATTGGAATACTAGTAAATTAGAAAATTATTATTTTTATTACTATGTAATACTCTATTAAAATTTTTCACAATCCATCAATATTTTACCGAGTTTAGATGAAGTACAATTTATCCACTTTAAATAAAGAATATTGCCATAGTGTTAAAGGTAACTGTACTTTGAAGAACTTAGTGAAAGAATGTGTAATGAGCAAAGGAACAATTTGGCCAGAGTTGCCTCAAAAAACATTTTCTTGTTAAAGAATGAAGTAGGATTGAAGTATCATCAAGGCCAGAAACAGCAATTAATTGTTATATCAAAATCCCCACATTTTGTCAGTTGTTGCGTTCTTTTCTTTCATACTGACAAACAAATTAAAGGACGAACTAATTAATAAACTGAGAGACCTAAAAAGTATAAATTTAAAGAACATAACACACACATATATAAAAAACTCAAAATTTGTATTGCCAGACATGACTGGGGTACGTAAAAATTCCTATAAACCATATATTTTTTTTCATTTACATGCCTAGCCTGACATGCAAAAATTTAATTAAAATTATCCTATAATACCATTTAAGCATATCCTCAAAATTTTACAAAATTTAGTACAATTGCAATAGAAACCATAGCAAGAAAAATCGCAATAATCATTTGTGTCATACATAAAAAATTTTTTGAGTAGGAGAGCGTTTTTCAAAAAATAAACAAACAACTATTATTAAAGAGCATAATACATACATCACTTTTCTCGGGCACATCCTTAGCTTTACCACCTTTGAAGTTTCTCAAGTTAGCAAACATTTTGAACATATTTTCTTCTTGATAACACAAAAAGTAGGAATTTTTGCTAGTGTGGTATCCATATCTAAAGTTAGTGAAATGAAATTGCGAATAAATAACACTAAGATAAGTTCAAATATTGAATAGTATAAAAACATAAATATCTAAGTTGAGATACATTTATATAAATATGATATTTCATTGACTGACCTGTTTTGTGAAGGATTGTTCTTTAAAAATATGGGTATAAAGCATGACATAAAAAATTACAAACAGATGAAAATACTTTCTTTCTCATTAAAATCTCAAATAAATAAATGATAAATAAGAAGAAGAAACTCAAACTATTTAGTGTTTGAAATCTCAACAACTCAGATCCTTTAAAATGTGAAGTATAAGGACAAAATGTACAAATTCATTTAAATAAAGCTTGTCGTAAAATAAATAAAAAAATAAATGATTAACTTTTTTAAAAAAGCATATTTTGTTACAGTTCAATAATTTTTCAAAGTATTACATTCTCTAATAAATATGTAATATTTGGTAGCTACGTATAGTTACCGATTTTCTTTTTTGTCATCAGGAAATCTTTTATTAATTTGCTAAACATTACGAGCTTTAGTTTTCTAATTAATTTAAAATTGTTATTTAACTGAAGAACTAAATAAAATGCTGCTAAAGAATTCAAAGTAAAGTTATAATATTAAATTACAATAAATAAAACATTCAGCAATATGATACAAGCTTACTCTAAATATATATCCCGTAATAAATGATGTAAAGTTTTCTGTTCTTTATAAGCAACTGTGGCCATTTTAGACAAATGCATCGCAGCTTGAATTCCATCTTTATCCATCACATGAGATCCACACATATAACCTTAACAAAATAATGTGATAATCATGCAAATGAATCAAAACAAATTATAACACTGTACTTTAGTACAGTTATATCGGACACTGCGTTTTAATAGTCTCTAAACACAGACTCATAAAAGTCCTTGATTATATACAAAAAATTACTTTAAAACACTTCAAAAAAAATATAACAAGAATAAATTTAACAGCTATTATGTGAAAAGATTCAGGTAAATAACAGTAAAGAGATATAATGAACAGCAGACAACACCAATAACGACAAAGACATTTTATTTCAATTTGCTGTTACAAATAACATGAAAGGTAACTGTGAGGGTAACTTTGAGAAACATTTGTTGTCACTTAGCATAAATATCTGTCATAAAATACTGTTTTCTTAATACTGAAGACAAATATTTTTGATTTTTATAGTGCAATATTTTTGATAACTGTTAAATCAGCCATTTCTTTAAAAAAAAGACTTTTGTTGTGTGATTTTATAATTTAAATAAATATAAATGCATTAATAAGGCAAAAGAGAAGAAAAAACACTTCCAGAAGATATCTATTTATTGATAGAGCATCAGAAAATTTCTTTGAAAATTTGAAGCAAATGTTTTGGAAATAATGTTGAAGGTAAGTACCTCAAAGTAATTCCCAAATTTATAAAATATTCCCTTTCGTTAGCCACCTTGCATTCATATGATAAAGTAAGCAGTGTTAAAATACAAACCTCAATAAATTAAATAAATCATAATGCATACCAATAGCTTCTTCAAACGCTAATACAAAATGCTTATTCTGTTTCATCATTTCATCAGCACGATTTGCCATCCATTTAAAACCAGTCAAAGTTTCCTAAAAAATTGCACATTTGTAGACAAGTGATGTTAATCAAAAATTGTTAAAAATCACAGCTGAATAATTTAACATTAAGAATTTTTTTATTAATTAGGCTTATGCGAATTCTGAGAATATGCATGATAGGTCAATTTTCTCTTAGATTATTCAATGGAGAAAAAAAATTATATAGATTAGAAGATTTCATGTAAACTTATACGGAAGCTTTATGTTTGGACTGTAAAATAGAAAAACAGAATGACTATGAGACATTGTAGAAATTTTCAAATTTAAAAATCACTGACTATCAGAAAATTTTTGAGGTATATTTAATTTGTAACATTCCAAGAAATCTGAAAAATTAGTAATATTTTTAAAACATGGATTATAATGTTTTTAAATCTAAACTTAAGTTATATGTTATGTTTTAAACTGTTTACTAAAACTGTTTTTAAAAATAAATAAAGTATTATAAAATGTTTTAAAAATATTGGTGATACTTCTTGTAATAATCAGTATTTGAGGCTTATTGTATTGATTTTTATTATTAATATCAAGTAAAATTAAGAATTAAATACAGTCAAACATGATAAAGAAGCTAAGAAAAAAGTTCCTCTCTAAATAGACGGCAATGCATTAACTAAAATGTCAATGTAAAAAGAATGTCACCTTAAAGAAAATATGTAACAAATAACACCATCATGTAGTTGTAAGCCTGAAAGTTTAACATTAAACTGGATTCAAATGCTTGTTACTTACAACAAAAAGAAATCCTTCCTTTTCAGAAATACTTCTTAAAATTTTTGACGATACAGCACTGGAAATCATAAAACAGGATTCTAAACAAACAAAAATAATGTTTTATCAACATATTATGCACAAAATGTTTTTTACAGACGTAATCTGTTATATAAAGTTTGATTAAGAAAGATATGAAAATAACAACAATAGAAGTTTTAAAGGCAATACGAAATGCAATGATGAAAAGAACTTGTGAGTTGATAACGTTATAAGAACATAACTAAGCTTAAGACCTATTGTAGTCAGTCATGCCTTCAGTTTTTAATCAATATGGTGAAGAATAAAAATAAAATAATTTAAAAAAATTATGAAAAAAACTTTTCTATTAGTCTGCATGAAAAATAAGAGATAAATATTCTGCGCAAAGTTTATATATTCTAAGTCAATTTTTCAGGCATTATGTTCATTTCATAAAAAGTTAAACTTAAAATGTGTTACAAGATTTTTGTATAAACTTTTTAAAGAATTCAAATAAAAAGTCAGTGGTTTATTTGGTGCTATTATTGTAATTTGAAAACCATTGACTTATGATTTGCATTCTTTAAAAATTTTATAAGAACAACAACACATTTTAATATAAACTTTATATTATATGAATATACCTTAAAAATTAGCCAAGAGACCTCAATTTTTATAAGTTCCAAGCAATATTTTATTTAAAACTTGTTTAAGACTTTGTTTTTCAAATTATTTTCATTTCTTATTATTTTGGCTTAGGATTTATCAAGTCTTTGAAAAAAATTGCACTTTATTTTTTTTTACCACTAACATGTTTTAAAAGCATAACTATAAGCAAAATAAACATGTGGTTTCAAATAACTTTAGAAATGCTAATTTGGTGAGATAGCCCTGATCCACATTCCATTCCCATTGATGACTAACTTTCAAAAATATAATTAAGCATCAAGAAACGTCCAATAAAATCTCTAACACAATTGTTTACAATTTTATTTATAACAATGGCTAATGTTGAACTAATGTAAAAAAAATAAATATTTTTCACACATGTCTCCCTAATGGAATGTTTTAAATTTTTAAACAATTTTTTATATCATGGGCTAAAATTGCAACTCTTAGTTGATGCTTAAATTTCAAAATTTTGGTACCAATGGTCATGTAGCATTCAAAATATTCTTACTAAGACACACAAAATACCGAGAACACAAAAGAGTTGAAAAGTAAATACATTAAGTAAACACTAACATGCATGTATTTTGTCACCAAACTAATGAAATGAGTGCTGACAATAAAGAATTTAAATATCAAACACAAGTGAGGTGTCATATGCATGAACAACATATATTACACCCTTTCAATTTTAAGCTCAACCTATTCATTTAGCTTTTTTAATGTATTAAGCAACAAAATGCTTAAACGAACTGAGCTCCATGTAGAAATAAAAGGATAAAAGCAAACAGTTTATGTAAAAAAAAAAAAAATAATAAAAAAAAAAAACTTCTATATTTTTGCTTTAATCATGTTTATTAATTTACGCAAGTTACAAAATAATTCAGAGTTGGATTTCAATTTATGTATGTTAAAATAAAAACTTCAAACTTTTGCGGTTCCAAACTCTGAAATTGGTAATCGAGCATTCAGAAAAATTCTATGAATTGTTTGTTTCCAGCATAACTTTTTCCAAGTAAAATTGAAAGTATAGAATTGTAATCATAATACACTTATAATATACATAAACGTTATTATATACGTAATATAATTATTGGTTTCCAGTATGACTTGACTTCTTCCAAGTAACATTGGAAGTATATAACTCTAATTATAATATTAATAGATTGAACGAAATGTTTATAAAACTGGGATACGTCATAGGATATAAACATTACACATTTTTTAAATCTTCATTTTAAAAATGGTACCAACATACACACCAACCTAGATTAAAATACTACAAAACACAGACAACTAGTGAAGTAATATATAAAGGGAGAGAGACATAAAAATACTGACCAGGATTTTTTTTAAGATCACTAGGATAATTTTTCCACAACCAGGAACCAAGCAATGCTCCTACTTGATTTCCACTGAAAGTATGCCACTCACCACTAAAACAAAATTAATTGAATCAATATATAGTCAAATAATGTTAAATGGAAAAACACTTAACATAAATTTTAGTTAAAAGAAAAAAAAGGTTTTTCCCTCATATTATCTTGGAAAACAATACCTAATAATTGCATAATTTATTAGAAATGTAAAAACTAACTTTTTCTCTTTAAGACAAAGTAAATACTCAGGGATGAGAGTAGTCAGAAAGTAAAAAAGAGGAAATCCAATATATGTATATATATAAACAAAAATGTGACAAAAAAGTGCGATTTTTAAACTTGTAAACCATGTGAATATAAATCCCGATATGAGACTTTTAAATCACGTAAATATGAAACTCTACATCGAATTTAAAAAATGTGAAAATACATATCATGATTTTTTAATTTTTTGATCACGATGCATAATTTTTAAATCGAGCGATATTACAACCACAAAAACGAATCACGATATTGGATTTCAAGCTCGCGTGAATACGAATTGCTACATAGGGCTTTAAAAGCTCGTAAATACAAATCGCGATATTGATTTTTTAAATCTCGTAAGTAAGAATCGCAACGTTCAACTTTTAAATCAGGTAAATACGAAAATCGAGATTTGATAATAAAACACGATATTGGATTTTTAAATGTCGCAAATAAGAATCATAATATACGATATTTAAATAGCGTAAATAAGAATAGCAATGTGCAACTTTTAAATCAGGTAAATACGAAAATCGATGATTGATATTAAAATCGCGTGAATAAAAATCGAGATATTTGCAGAGGCTGGACTAGTGATTTCTAAAAGGCTTGTTTGTATTGTTTTTGTTTAGACATAATAAAAATTTACAAGATTAATTGAATGAGCAAATAAATATTTTCACCGCAAATCCACCTCTATTTTTTTCCTCTTTTTCTGTTTGTTTTCACGCCAGAATACAAGAAGCAGTGACGTCTGAATTACGAAAATACGAGCTATCCAGCAGACGGATAAAAAATACGGAAAATCTTATTTTCTGTGCGCGAAATCGGAGAAAATAGCTAAAATAAGTAAAAATGCGGAAGGGTTAGCAGCTACGGCGTAGATTGAATTTTCTGTTTATCTTTGAAAATCGTAAATAAATATAATTAATAAGAAAAAATAAGTGCGTAAATAAATAAGAAAAGGGACTTCAATAATTTCCCTCCGCAAAAATTAAATTCCTCATAAAATATTTTAACTTGTGCAAAAAAAAAATTTCAGCAGAAATTAGCGGAAAAAATGGGAAAATTTGAAAAAAAGCGGAAATCCGCGGAAGAATCTCATCCCTGAATATTGCACCTCATGAAAACAAATTTCTCATTTCGACTTTTGCAAAAACTTTTCAGGTAGAAATAATTTTATTTTAAAGTGCGGAAATGAGGATAGCACATTTGTCGTTGGGACTGAGATAAAGGATCATTCTTTGTTCACAAAATTCTGCTATTGGTGAGATCATGTGAGGAAGCATGGATCCTTGAGGTTGGGGTAGGTCGTGCCAATCTGGGGTGAGAGGGATTCCATTTTTTCCAAGATAATGGAGAAATTCTTTGGTAATAGTCATGCTTTAACTAGGGTTTCGTTGGTTGCTAGCACATTTTTGATTCAAGAATGATGTGATAGAAGCTTAAAAACAGGAATTTCCTCTTTCCTTTGAAGATTATATTCAAATTAATGACTCTGGTTTTTGACTTCACAATCCATTACATTCTGGTTGTTTTTAACTTGAAAGGGATATAAACTGGAGGCAGATGTAGAAGTTAAAATGTATTTTGTGTCTTACAATGAGCCAACAGTTGCTTTAAAATCTGCTCAGTGGTTTCTACTTCAGCAAAAAATTACCAATTGCATTGAAAAAGTAGATTCTTTTACAAATTAATGTAGGATACAAAATATCAAAGAAAAGCTTATTAACTATTTTTTTTTTCAAGTCTTAACTTGAAGAGATAAATATATTTTTAAACTTTAATTCTCCTGAGTCATTTATTTTGGATAAGAATATTATAATTACATAGACTATCATTATGTGTATATCTGTCTGAGCATAGGCTTATGTGTTTGTAGGACTAATTAAGAATCTATTTTTTTGCATAAAAATACTGATTAACTTAATATAACTATAAAATTTTTCTCTACGGACATTATTAAAACTTTTTGAAAATTTCAGTTATCTGTTCTTAAAATAAGCTTCAATTGCTTCTGTTGTCTTGCCAATTAATGCCAATTTAGTTAATACAAATTAGGTTGATACCTTTCGATTAACAAGGTTCGAAAGCAAAAAATTTTGCTGTATATAAAAAATACATAATGAATGCACATTTTATAAATTTTTGACATGTGAGGGGAAAAAAGACAAACTCAATAAATGTAGCATGGGTATGCATGCTGCAAAAAAAAAAAAAATGCATATTCAGGAAAAGATTTTGAAATGTATAAAAAAGAAAAAAATTTTGCGGGCCTTTCAAGAACACATCTTAAAAGGTGTCTTTATAAAGAGGTATGCCAGATAGGAGAGAGTATGCAAAAAGAGATAAAAATTAATACATCCAACCAAAATGTACAAAAAAAAGAAAAAAAGAATTTGGAAATATTGATTTTTCAATTTCTAGAAATAAATATATCAATGAAATAAAATTTAAAAGAAGGAATACAATTGTAGTGTAAATGACACTTTCAAATACGAGCAGAAATGCTCAATACAATAATTACATATAAAATGTTATGACATTTTTAAGTGGTTAACATCAGATAAATAGGATATATGCAAAGTAAAGAAATTGGCAAATTAACAAAGAAATCATAAATAATGATAACATTAAAAACTTTAATATAATCCATTTGAGCTCTAAATAACAGTGGGGAAAATTTTTTTCGTTATTTTTTGTTGCATAAGATTTTCTAATAGAATTTGTAGATTTTCTCGCAATGTTGATTTCAAATCTGCAAGCAATTTCTCTAAAAACTATTTTTTTTAAAATAACAGTTTTACCTTCAAGATCTTATGTATAACAGGGGGTCAGGTAAATATTACAACTAACTTTAAGGGGAGTTAGGACACATCAGCAGGACTAAAATTGCATAGGAACCCATGCCCTGAAATGTCGCACTGCTACACTGCTTAGAGCGCTTCGCTATTTTGAACCGGTTGTTCATGTGCTTCTCAGCAGGTCATAATAGGAAAGCGCTCAGGTACAACGTTATTGCAAGGCATGGGTTTCAATACAGTTTTAATTCTGATAATGTGCTCTAACTCTTTTAAACGCTAGTCTTAACATTTGCACGATACCGTTATATATACGCTTTTTAAATTTGCACAATTCGACAAAATATTGACAAAAAATATCATTTTAAAAATAATCTATAGATTCAGGAGCAAAACTAATTTTATATTCGAAATCGCCAATATCAAGTATTTGTATAAATGCAACAAAAATTTTGTTCCCCATTGTAGTTAAAGTATAAAATATATAAAAGAACTTGTAGCTGAAATAATACAAATTAGTGAGACAATTCTCCTCACATATTTTCAAATTTGTCAACAAATAGCATAATTGCAACAAAAATTTTGTTCCCTTATATAATTGAAGTATAAAATATATAGAAGAACTTGTTGCTATAATAATGCAAATTGGTGAGACAATTCTCCTTTAAATATTTTCAATTTTGTCAATAAACAGCACATAGGTATACTCACTCCACTTTTTTTTCAGCAACTGCCAGACGATCAGCATCAGGATCATTAGCTACAATCAGCTGACTGTGGTATCTATCAGCAGTTTGAATGGATAAATCCTAATCAGGAAAATAATAAAAGCAATTATTTTATACAAATCTTTTTTTAACACAATAAATATATAAAACACAATAGCTATAAATATAACACTAACTAAAATATAATTCTTTTTTTTTTCTCTTTTTAATAGAGGAATAGGAAATTTATAAGTATATAAAATTTTTTAAAATATAATAACTAAATATATTTAATAACTAAATATTTAAAATAAAATACTTTATTACAATGTGCCAATCATTTAAATGTAACGACATTGTCACCTCATTATAAATTTTAAAATTATTTAAAAACCAGAAGAAATTAATTAAAACTAAACAATTCAGTCCATTCAATCATTTGTGATACAGTGTGCCAAAGATTTAAATGTAATGATTTATCCATAGTGATTTGACTAATGATTTATCCATCTTTATTATAAATATATGCAAAATTATAAATTATTTAATATTATTAAAAATTATTTACAAAGTGATAAGTTTATGGAAAATTTTCATATCTGTGATGAATGTAAAATTATTTACCAAACTGAAATATTAACTAAAACAGAAATATTAACTAAATCAATACACTTCAGTCCATTTAATCATTTGATGAGAAAAGATAAGTTTTAAAATAAGCCTACATAACTTTAAATTTTTTAAACAATACAGGTTTCCATGTTCCAAATGATCAAATTAAATTTACATTGGAATTGATATTACTGTTTTAATTTTAAAATAATTTTTATAAGCATCTTGTAAATTAAAACAAAATAATAATATGTACTAGAGGACAGCAAGTTATACATTTTGCATTCATATTTTGTTAAATCATGCAACATCAATTTGAAATTTAACTCAAATTGAGAAGTAAAAATTTTTTGATTAAAATTAAGATTTAATGTTTTCTTATTTGTTGAAAATATCTCTAATTCATTTCAAAGAATGTTTGCGTGGATATAATTAGTAATACAATGTCTGTTGTAAATAAAAATATCATTTTTTCACCTTAGCTAATTATTCAGCATTGCTTTCATTTAGTGATGTAAAAAATAAAAACCTTTTTATAAGACTTCATATAACATCCAGATTTAATAATTTTCATAATGATTCTTATAATAAATATAGTTTCAATCTAACAAGGAACATTTTTATGTTAAAGTTAAAATTATTTTGTTGAAGTAGCAAGAAAAAAATATCTGTCTCATTGTAAAAAATTATTTCTCTTAAAAAGAAAAAAAAAAAAACTTTTTTTTTAACCTTAACTGTTAAAAATATAGGTCAGCAAAAAAAAAAATTTTTTTTTTTTAATCACAATAAGATCAAAACAGAAATTAAACACACATTTAACAAAATTTATGTACGAACCTTTTAACCCTTTCTGGCAGAGTGTTGCCAGTCAGGCAACACTAATTCAATAAATGTTACAAGCCATTAAAAATGTAAAACTAGTTGTCTTTAAATGTTTAGTAACTATTAATCAACAAAGAGCTGACCACAATATAGTACAATAAGCATAACAATAAAATTTAATAAAAATATCTCATTCTTGAAGTTAAATTTAAGACATTCTTACACTCCTAAAAACTTATGACTCAGACAGAGTGACTAATGAAGAATTTTTATAATACTTCATATAACAATTTTCTGAAACTTTGTTTTATTTCCCAAGCAGCAAATTCTCCAAAGTTTGTTTTGACAAGGAAGAACCGAATTAAGTTTAGATTTCTGTTATGTGACTGAATATTCTTTGACAGGTCACATCGCTGTAAGGAATGGTTAATACCATCAGCATTAACTTGGCCATCAACTATAGGCATTACTTTATTTGCTACTAACTTTACATTATTTCACACTGATCCCATCGAAAGAACATTAATATTTTTCAGCTAGTTATTTTGGCATGCATTCAGATACTACTCTTAAAAGAAAAATCATTCGTACACAATTTGTTAAAAATAGTTTTATACTTTTATTTTGGTTTATCAAACATTTCAATATTTTTTTAAAAGGTTCTAAGATAACTAAACACACTCTCACACAGTTTCGGAAAAGAAAGAGTTTTGGGGCTATATGCAAAGTGTACCCAGGTTTTACAATTCATTCAGTTATTTAGAAAAAAACCTGAGAAAATATTTTGTTGGTCTAAGGTCCTGAGATTGCATACAAACACACGAGAATTCGCAGGATTGAAAGAGCTAAAGCATGTCACTTCACTTAGAATGTACTGTCCAAGATCGCACTTGCTAATGTCCTGCCTGACTAAAATTAACTGTTATGGAAAGTGTTAAAGCAGACTAATGGCGGTAAAGTTTTCTAAAACATACATAAAATTTAAAATACACGAAACAAATTTGTATTAATGTAAATTTATCTATATGTTTTAGCCATCAGAAAGGGATAGCATATATAAATATATAATAGAAAAAAATACCAGGAAATTTAAACTAACCATGCAATTTCCTTCTTCCGGATTCGGAAAATAGACAGTTGGGAAATCAGGATCAGGAACCATTTGTTCTTCAACAGCTACATAATCATCAAAATGCACCTTTTGAAAAGCCTTCTTCATGTAAGTGTGTGAAACACCATGTAGAGCTGTGAATGTTATTTTTAAAGGAGGATCTAGCCCATCACTAAAGAAAATAATAAACGTAGTGATGTATTTACAACTCCATTAAGAAAAATATAAAAAACAGCATAAAACGCCTGAGAATGTTAAACATTTAATACATCAGAAATACATGTTGTCGTTGTTTCTAATGCCACTTGCCACACGCGCAAGCCTGCTGGGTGAAACCGAGCAAATTTAAGGCAGAGTCTGCGTTTCTTGTTTTTCAGTGGCGCCATCTATGGCCAAGAATTCGACTTCTGCCACACCATACGTCGCACCCGTTTATAGGGCGAACCCATTCATACATCCATTAATTCACCCACAGATCCTAATTTTGACCTGAATCAGAAAACAATCGATCTCCAATCCAGTACCCCAGAGGTATTGATTTGTTATGGAAACATGGAAGACTTTTGCAACTCGACAGATTTAACGTGCATCAGTTACTTTACTGCACGGCCGGCCGATGGGGTTCGAACCCACGAACATGGGCCCAGCACCTTACCGACCAGGTCATGTTATCAAAAAAAATTTTGATTGCAAAATTTCTGTGGTAATACAGACAAAATAGATAATATATTAAAGCTTTAAGAAAATTTTAGTGAACTAGTAAAATAAGAAAGTCATATTAGTAACTTTTACATTTAAATTTGACATTTTAGTTACTTTTTAACATAAATCATGAATTGATCTCTACAAACTAATAAGGAGGTTTTACACATCACTTGAGGCTTGAACAACGGAAAACTATTATAAACAGATAACGTAATTAAAAAAATTGTGAAGTTAAAACAATCATTTTTTTTTTGCAAATCCAATTAGGCATTATAATAATTTTTTGTAACATTTTAATCATTAACATTAAGCATTGTTTATAAACAAACTGTATATGCTAAACCACTGATACATAATTTTTTGATGATCAATATCATAGTCGCCGAAATTATGCTAACCTTTTGTTCGTAATTTCAGTAATTAAAATAAAAATAAGTATACAAAACATACATAATTGGTAATTCTATAATATACTATTCTTATGTGTATTCAATTTAATAACTTTGCAGCAAAATAATGCTATCCTAAAGCAACAAAAAAAAGTTGTTTCTTCCCTTTAATCCAAAAATTGTGGCTTTTAAAAATTAAATCAAGGGTAACTAAATAAATCCAACTATTTCATAAAAACCTTTCTTAACAATTAATAAATATTTTCAAGGAATAACTTTAGCTCAAAAAATATACTGAAATCATAAAATGATTATGTTTAGAATTTTAATTATGTCTATACATTATTTTATAGTTACATTTTAAAAATATAGTTTATAGTTACACTGTTCCCCCTGACCTGTGGGACACATGCTAATCTATCAAAAGAATACTAAAAGTAGAATATTTTTTTATAAAAAGGTTAATAATAAATGACTTATTTTAAGTATAATTACTTGGACATGCACAAATTTTATTTCAGTAATCTATATTGTAATGCATTATATATTTTTATTTAATTGTTTGAAAATTAAATCAAAAACAATATAAAAACATAAAAATGAACTTACTTTGATCCCTTAAATGACTCAACATTCATATCTCTGTAGTACATGCATTGAATTTCAGGTAAAGGATCAAAGCACAATGGTGATGTCCATACTAAAGATGTACGACTAGAAAGTGACCAAGGTTTCAAGTTTTTCAATATACTGGCTTCAATGTTCTTATCAATAGGAGACAATATCTGAAATATGTTTCAGAAAATTAAGCAGCTATACAACACAAATGAATGAAACATATTAGCATAAACAATATAATTAAATGAAATAGCTTACCTGTGCACTATTTTTCCAGTATACCTGGAAATAAAAAAAAAATATATATACATATATTTAAGTCAAATCTAATATTAAATCTAAATAAATATTTAATAAATAAATATTATTTTAACAAATAGCATACTAATTTTCGGCAAACTTAAAAAGCAATCATTTCTAGTAAGTTTGTATGCAGATTTTTTTTTAAAGCCTTCCCTTAGCTTCATTAAAATTTTAAATGTCTGAAAATTAACTCTATAAGAAAGAATAAATAAAATTTCAATAATAATAATAAGTGAACTTTTTAAGAAATCCTACAGAGAAAGTTCGCATTTCTTTAAACATTATTTAAAAACCTTTATTAATAAAGTTTTAATTCTTTTATTTAACAAATGTAATGAGTTCACAGAAGGGATAAAAGATTATTAAATAATTGTATTTAAATGACAGGTTCATCTTTTTTGTAGAATGTTTATAAAATGTATATATAAAAAAAATGAAAAAAACCCAACTGTGCTAGTAGCCCACATAAAACTGATATTGGCATTGCATTTAACATTTAAATTATGTCATTGTTTTCCCCTTGTTTTTTCTTTTAAAACACATCTTTTGATAAAAAAAATTTGATCAGGAATAGGAGCAAATTTGTAATTGGATCTCATTCAGTGATAAAAGCCCACAAAACACAGATATCCTTCGTATTACATCAATGTTTAAATGTCAGTGTTTAAATCACACAATGTTACCGTTTTTTTTTCGCACATGCACATTTTTTAAATAAATATTTTTATCAGAGATAATAATATTTGTTGATGGAAAATTTCTTTTTTCACTAAGTTTTAGAGGCTCACAGCAAGTCAAAGAATTTGACTAACTATTATGATCAAATGAAGTTTTTGAGCGTAAATGTGTGCCAAGAATGACACAAATAGTAAATTTATTGACAAGGGAAAGGGAGGTATCAGTTAGTGATATCATCATAAAAAAAGAGTTTTTAAGATTAAAGTAAAATTCAAAAAAGAAATATATAATGAGCAAAAAATATTAACAGAGAGCCTTTTGAGATCTAGAAGATGCATTTAATTTAAAACAAAAGAATAAGGAAATAAATCAAAGCATAAAGTTAATCCTTAAGCTTTCAAGTGATAAAAGATAAGAAAACAGATCTTTTAGACACATAAGTGAAAAAATTTCTAAAAGAAAAAAAATTACAACATTCCTTTTGTTTATCCTAGCATAAGATTTATACTGCATAAATTAAAAGCTATTGTATTTCCTATTTTCTGACAGTAATAAAAAATAAAATGCAGAAAAAAAAAATCCAGGCAATAAATTTTTTTAAAAGTAGATAAAAGAAAGAACAGTTACGAAAAAGTTATTACGTAAAAATACTGTTAAAACTAAAATTAAAAAGCAATTTTTCTTTAATTAAAAACATAATTTAAATTTAAAATTTTTAAAGGAAACAATAATACAATTTCAGTTAAATTTATCATTTAATTGAATTTAATTAAAATAACTTTTAACCTTATATCCATTGTCATCTTTAGGGTTATGAGATGCAGTCACCATCACACCAGCAAGACAGCCAAGTTTCTTTACAGCATAAGGAACAAATGGTGTTGGAACAATAGAATCATACAAGTAGACCTTTATCCTTTTTAAAATGAATGCTACGGCAGCAAGCTCAGCAAATCTGAAAGTAAATTTAATCATCAAATTAGAAGCACTTATATTTTTGTCAATAACTATTATTCAAAGCTTTTAAATTTAAAAATTAATTGACTTTGTCCTCTTTTGTTGTTTTTATGCACTAGAAGGTGCAAGAACACTTTTATAACTTCATTTATTCTTAGTGCACAACACAACTGCTTAAACATCGTTTACTAAACTTGTTTTCACATTTTCAATGTTCAATACAATGTTTTCAAATGTTCAATAACCATGTCATTATATCAAGGAAAAATGATAGAATTATAAAATATAAATAGATTAAGAATAAAGCTGTAACAAATTCTTTATACTCTTCAAAATATCAACAATTTTAGCTTCCAATTCAGGAAAGGAAATTTATAAGCAGAAGGAATATTATTTTGTGCAAGGTTAAGAAATAGTGTTAAGTTAATATATAATTGCATAACATATTTATTCTATTATACAAAATAATGTTATATTATATAACATAGTATAATACATGGAATATTACAAAGTGATTTGATTTAATTTATATATACTTCAATATAACTTTCAAATTACATTTGAACTAAACAATTCATAGAAAATATTCTAATATATAAAAATCTAAATTTTATTTTCAGAAAACAAAGCAAATTAAAAATTCTTGTTCTTCATTCTATCACAAATTTATAAAATATACAAATAGTATGCTGCTTTCTAATGAACAAGTTATCATGCGAACTACATAAATGATAAAACATCATGAAAACTAAAATATAGCTCTAAATGTAACCAACATAAATTAGTTAGCATAACAGAAAAAAAAAGCTCACTTTATTGTCACTACTGTATTGTATTAGTTTAAACATCTTTTCTTTCAAACCAAGGCATAACTCAGTTTGTTTTAGCTTTACTTTGCCAGCATAAGAAAAGAAATGTTATCAGCTTTGTAAAAAGCATTGAATATAGCATAATGAAATATTGTCTACATTGGTTTTCAGCTTTTTGAGAAAAATATGAAAAAATTTCATAAAAATTTTAGCATGGAAAAAACATTTTAATAAAATTTTACAATAGTTTTTTTGTTTGCTTGTCATGAACTGAAATTTAAAATAGTATCTAAATAATTCATTTTCAAAAAAAAAAAAAAAAAAAAAAAAAAATTTAAAACTTTTTTTATGAAGGAAAAAAAACAAACTAGAAGTCATAATTTAAACTAAACAACAGTTTAAAAATAAGAATGAAATAGAATAAATAAACTGATGCATGGTACCTACGACTATTGTGGCGGCTATCATAACCAATTACTACTCCTTTAAAACTCTTATCACTGTCTTGACTATCAATATATGAAGCCAAACCTTGAGATGTCTGTATTATTACTAAATCATTCATAGCATTGTAGCCTGGACCCATCTTTCCTCTCAAACCTGAAAACAATAGTAAGTAATTTCGACTTTATCAGGAACAGGCACTATTCAGTGTTCGAGGGCTATAAAAAATCTCCAAACTATTATTGATGTTAGTGATGCTAATTACTTATAGTAATAGGTATTACTGGCCTATTGTAGTAATAGGCACTAATAAATACAGTTCCATTAGATAATTAAGCATTACTTGCTTCAATAATACTTTGACAATTTTTATGACTCCTGGGATGCTCAGACAAGGATAACAGGAAGGGGGGGGGGCAAGTTACTATAACCATGCCAGTAATTTTAAAACTGTAAATTAAATTTCAGCAATATTTTGGATTTTTCCAATATTGGGGAGGAGAGAAAATTGTCCCCATCACCTTTAATAGGGATAGGCTCCCCTGATTTCAGAAATAGTATCATTTTTCTTTTAAGTTCAATAAAAATGTAAATGACTATTTTGTTAACAGATTATAGACAAAAATAGGATTAGAGAACTATTCTTATTTGATGAGTCTGAATAATATTTTCAGCTAGACTGAATGGGTCTCACTTAAATACATTTAACACACAGAGAGATTCTTACGAATGATTCAGTGAGCATGATAATATTAGCATGATAATATTAGCATGTTATACATGTAATATAAGCAGGGGTCTGTCTAGGTTTTTCTGAGCGGTACCTATTTTGTGATAATTTAGACATAATTTGTGAAAAATTAAAAATTATATTAAAAAATCAACACAAAAATATGGTGAAAATACGGATTTATCGTTTCTTAAGGGATAAAAAAAATAAGATTTTAAGAAAAAGTATTTTGTGAAACTACCGTTTTTCCTAAAGTTGAATTTGTGAAGGTACCGCTAAACGGTAGTAAATTCGGCCGCCTGGACAGACCCCTGATAATTATATTCTCAGAGCAAAGAATGCAAAATCTGTATACCTCACTATTCAAAAAAATATTTGACCATCATTAATATACAGAATTATATTGCGATTAATAAGTTTAATAAATGCAGTGTTTTATATAGTAAAATATGGTAATAAATGAAATATCTGAAATTTGCATTTAAGGACCTAAACTAAATTAAACTCAGTGGCACGACAGCCCTAGAAGGCCATGGCCTACTGTGGCTCTCTCAGTTTTCCTGACCTTGGGCTCTGGGGTGCAGGAGCAGATGTTCCGGACAGGTGGTCAGTCGAACGCGGAACCACCAGTGTTTAGTTCCCAAGCATACTTGGTACTCATTTATCGACCCACTGAAGGGATGAAAGGCTGAGTTAACCTTGCCCGAGGATCGAACCAGGGACCTGTGGCACGACAGCGCTACCGCTCAGCCACCGGGCGTCAAGGACCTAAACTATTTAGATCAGATTTTCTAAACTGTGATTGCACCACTCCGAATACTGAGGGTCAATAAAAATCTGCTAAAAAAGAAAAAAAATGTTTAGTGAAAGAAAGTATGTTTTGTATTTAATAACATACTGTCTGCACAAATTAATAAACATATTTAAGCTTAAAAACATATGTACCTCAAACCAGTAAAAACCGATCATTAGATCAAAAGTTAGATAATGGTGTTTGCTTTTTATTTTTGATCCCAATACATTATAAGATAAAAATAGAAAGATAGAGCACAGAAAGACACATTACCTGCTGTACCAAATGCAAGGCGTTTCATCATTATTTTCTCTAATTCAGCGTAACGACCTTGCAACACCATATCTTCCACTCGCTTTGCAGTAGCTAAACCCTACATTATAAAAAATGATCAAGAACATTACATTTTTCAATGAGAAATAAAAAAATGACTAAAGAGTTTATTTCAATTAAGACTTATTTAAAGTTTTTTGACTTAATTTGTTGACAATATTTTTCATAGTTTTAACTATGAGTAAGTACTAATTCTATTATACTTAATCACACTGAAAATATTGCATCACTCATATATCTCAAAATTAAAGTGCAAATACAATTATGGATGCTCAAAATTTCAGTTAAATTTTGTTTTGTTAATGACAATTTAAACAAAATAATTACAATTGTCAGGGATAGCTTAAATGCCTAAACTATTAGAAGACCTACTCCAAAATCTCTTTATCCAGGGGTCTGTCTAGGTTTTTCTGAGAGGTACCTATTTTGTGAAAATTTAGACATAATTTGTGAAAAATTAAAAATTATATTAAAAAATCAACACAAAAATATGGATTTATCGTTTCTTAAGGGATACAAAAATAAAATTTTAAGAAAAAGTATTTTGTGAAACTACCGTTTTTCCTAAAATTGAATTTGTGAAACTACCGTTTTTCCTAAAGTTGAATTTGTGAAGGTACCGCTAAACGGTAGTAAATTCGGCTTGGACAGACCCCTGTTATCACTACAAAGTTTTTTATGGCTGTCAATTTGAAACAATTTTTAAAAAAATTAGCGCAAAAAGTTATGGTAATCTAAAAACGAAATAAATAACACCAACCTTGTACAAAAACTCCTATCAAATTGGTAGTCAAACCTCAAAGTAGATAAATAATACACTACCCTCAAAATTACATATTTTTGGAAAAACTAAAACCACTCTAATGTTTATCATATTGAAAATTCTGAAATTTAAAAAAATTACAACAACTCAAATTCTAATAAATGCCCTTTTTCATGTTAAACTTTGTAATGTAAGCGTCATCACAGCAAAGATAGATTTTCGACGACGTTCCCATATCAGTATTTGGTCAAGGTGACAGAAATTACTTAAGTGCCATTTATAATTAAATAATCAATTGAAATTAATATAAACATCTGAGACATTATTATAATGAATATAATTCACTTGAAGGTGGCGAAGGCTATACCCAACTTTATGTTTCTTTTAATGGGCACTCTTCTGTAACCTTTCCCATTTATATTCTTCACAAATATAGTTAATCAGACTTAGACATCAAAAAACTTAACAGAATCAGAGCTCTATTATAGTGGTATGCTACACTATTATAGTTTAACTTTAAGTTTAATCATTATCTTGATCAAACTTCTGAGGTTTGTGACATAAACCAATCGAAATCAATTTAAATAGCATTATTCATTTATAATAAGTAAATAAATACCAAATTCTAAGAGGATTGATTGTTTATAATTATAAAAACTACACTTATTCAGGCTTTTCTAGTGTTGATTATGTTTATTATTAAAAAATAGATTAAAGAATGTGGTATTATTACTTTAGCAAACATTATCTTAAAATCAAAGTAAAATCAATTGGAATAGCATAATTATTTTTACAATAAATCTCAACATAAATATTGCAAAATTTTATTTAAATTCCAACTCTATTGCAGCACATAATTAAACTTAAGGCAGATTTTTTTTTTGAAAAAGCCACAAAAAGAAGTACAACAAATTTTTAACAAAATATTCAACTTTGAAAATTACAGTAAAGACAAAAATATGCTTTTTCTAAAATATGAAAGTTGGTAATATTTCCCAAAATCAAATTTTTAGTTTATAACAGAAAAATTTTAGTTTTTAGAGACATGATATATTCAATAACATAATAAAACTATAAACGTAATAAAACAATATTTCGCAGAAAGAATGGCTATTTTTTATATTTTTGCTATAATTTTAGATAAGAGAGATCAATTGAAACTGTAAGATGTCAGCTTGTTGGTAAATAAATATTTTAACATTCTTCTAGGTTACAAAAAATTACAGTAGATTTTTAAATTCATAATAAATGCTATTTTAACAAGACTATTTTAACATAATTCTGTAGATTCAATGAAAATAAATAAATATGACATTGAAATCATTTAATTAACATACGGAATGTCTCACATTTATTTTATAATATATTTTTTTAGTACGATCAACCTAGAGTGAACACTTAGTTCATTTTGTCAAAATTTATTTAAACATTGAGAAATCGAATGCTTTTGTACTACGTATAAATTATACAACACAACAATTAATAAGCTATTCTAAATAAAAGTTTTTAAATGCAAGATCTTATCATAAAACCAATAATACAAAGTACTAAAACTTATATGAATTTTAAGAATTGCACTGTATTATAGTAAACATTAACTTGGTGAAATTATTTAAATAAATAAAAGTAGATCTAAGTCATTAAATAAGATGATACAAAAAATGCAAATTTGAAAAAGAGTCGTCCCTGAAGTTTATATTTAATGACAAACAAAATGTCTCATAAAGTAAATAAACAAAAATATCTAGTACTTACCCTAGCATAATCTAAATATTCCCTTATTTTTTCATCTAATTCTTTATTACCAGAATTAATCATTGACATTTTAAAAGGTTTTTTTTTTCACACTTTAAAACAAAATTACTTAAGTATCGGCTAATTCGATCTGCTAACTTTCGAAGGATTATTATACTAGTTCCAATACACTTAATTATTGTTTCTTTTTTTAAAAAAATAAGAAAACGTTCCACTTGAAGTAGTAGTTACGAACGTTGTAAAGTGACACTTGAGTTGCTGCGAGATAAAAGAATTAAGCGAACCCAGGATTTTCAAGGCCCAGCTGATTGCGGCGCCCTTCAAGAATAAATCTCGTCTCGCCAAGGTTTTTATCTTAATGAATTATCCTTATCTTTTTTTTTAAGAAAAAGAATTAAGGTGCTGAAAAATTCAACGATTACTAAACTAAGATTCACGAAATTCAGTCGGAAATCCAGATGGGGTGGGGGGTGGTGTGATTGTTTGCTTTCGGGAGTTATTAGTTTCATTTCAAGGCCAGCTTTAATTTTTTTATTAATATTATTTGCTTTTGTAAAATACAGCAGTCTTTTCTACAAGATAAACACAGAAGCACTTTAAATCTTCTATTGTGAGAACAGCGTTAAAAATGTGTTGCACCTTTGCGTCAAAAAAATATTTGTTGCTGTTGTTTATTTAAGTCGCACTAGAGCTGCACTATGGACCAGTGGTGACTGTCTGGGAAGCATCCTTGAGGATCCGAAGACATGCCATCACAATTTTGATCCTCTGCAGAGGTAACCGCTTCGGCAACCCGACGACCTGCAAGCGAGGTAGAGCACTTTGGTAGAACAGTTTAACGAGGACCGATCCCGCAGTGGACTGGTCGTTAAGACACGATTCCCAGCAGATCACCGAAGTCAAGCATCACTGGCTGCGGTCAGTGTGCGGATGGGTGACCACTTGGATCAGTCTGCGTAGGGACCGAGGGTGTGCGGTATTGGTCCTCGTTAAACTGTGGTACCGTAAAGTGATCGACATCGCGCAGGTCGTCGGGCTACCGAAGCGGGGGTGCCATCCCCTCCACAGAGGATCAAAATTGTGATGGCATGTCTTCTGATCATCCTCCGGGATGTTTCCCAGACCGTCGCCAATAGCCCATTGTGCAGTTCTAGTGCGACGCAAATTAACAACAACAACAATTAACAAGGACCGATACCGCTAACCACCCTCGATCCCTTCGCAGGCTGATCAAAGCTGTCAGTCACCCGCACACTAATCACAGTCAGTGATGCTTGACTCCGGTGATCTACTGGAAATCATGCCTTAGAGACCAGTCCTCTGTGATCGGTTCAATACTGGCTTGCTTGTTTGATGGTTTTCTGAGCCATAAATCTATACAGAAAAGATTCTCAATGTAAAATACGGAGCTAATTTTATTGAATGCCAAACGAGTGGTCTTTCAGCTGCACATTTTTCTTTCCATCTTTATAGTAAAACTTTTACTTTGAGAACTTTAACCATTAAAAAAAAAAATAAGAAAAAGAATATATAATGTATTTTTTTTAATATTTTATAACCGTCGTTGAACAGCCGACTTAATTTTTGGGCTTACGACTGCTAATGTTTAACTCCGTAGCCCTGTAATTCTTAACCCAATCCAGAAGATAAGAGGACACCTGGATGAAATATTGGGAGAAATTTGCCTTCGTGGAGGACTTTTTTATAGAATCAAACCGCATTTGCTTTACACTGAGAGGAAGACCACGAGAACTTAGCACGGCTAGCCTGACGTCAAAGGTACTCTAACCCATGACCGTCTACCACTGATGACAATTCACGTCAGCACTGTGGTCGGTGCAAGCCGGATGCAGGATTCGTATCAACCAGCCACCTCTGGGATTCGAATCTGGTTCACTTCATTGGAAGGCGAAAGCTCTATCCCCTGAGCCATCGCAGCCCAATATATAATAATAAATAACTTATAAGTATATTTTTAAAGCAAACTATACTTTAAAAAAAGGAGAAAATAAATAATTTACAAAACAATTCGTTCATCGCCCTCCTTACCTATAATGATTACCCGTCCCATTCGCCGGCACTGCACTCATCACTCAAAATTTTCATCACTTTCAGACAATTTATGTCTTCATATTTTAACTAAATCCCTGTGTTTGATGTTAATACATAATGTTCAAATGCTAACAGAATTTATCACGCACGTATGGGGAATAGAAAACCAGCATTTTTCGAAATTTTGACCATTTTCCGACTAGTTAGAATGTCCAAATTTTAAATGGAGCTTAAGGCTGTATTCGAATAAAACTTTCAATCCTTCACTGAGTCGAATGCGAAGTTTTTTTTTTCCTTCATATTATTGACAAAGAATATAGTCAAACATTATTTCCAACCTGTTCTACTGAGTGATTGAATTTGCTCTAAGGCTCTGTACTGGATGATAACATAAGTTTCCACTTTCTTGATCGCTACAATCAGAATTTTTATACATTATGGCCAAAAGTAATTTATCGTTAATCCAAATTACTGTTTTTTATGATAAGTTCAAAATTAAACTGAAATTATGCGTTGCATAACAATAGCAGTTTCAATATTTTCCTGACCTTTCGAATCTTTTCCCTTCCTATTAAAGCATATTTTTTCATCCATTTGTATCGCCAAATAATACAATTTATTGTCTATCGAAATGCTGACTACTTACTGACTAATGTAATAGAGCTCAAAAAGAGCTAAATTTGTGCCTGAGCCTAAAAGGTACTAGATTCTGATGTGAAGAATTACATTTTATCGCCTATAGTAATTAATAATAATTGAACAGACCTTAAAAGATAAACGTAAGGTTCATCATCACCTTTAAACTAAACTTCTATCAAGAAAGAAATTTTTCTTGCTTCTTTCACGAAGTATTATTTCTGAAATGTGAACGCTGAATAAATGGATATTGTCATTATAATAAACAAAAAACCTACTAATTTAATGTAAACGTATAAATTAGGAGAATGACGATAATTACGACTGTAAGAATTTTATATTTGATGTTATTGACTTGAATTTCAGAAAATGTTAAAATTTCCAAAAAGTAACAAGATGTCTTTAGAAAATGTATCTTAAAACCTTTGGTAGTTTAAACAATGATTAAAAATGTGTGTGTCATACGTTTGGAAAATATCAGCCTAAATATAATTACAGTAGATAAAAGATAAAACTCTGGGTAAACGAGATACAAAAAGTTTTTTACTTTCATTATCTGGAATATTTTTATCTGAAATTCAATGTCACTGCTTCTGAGATTTATTGGCCTGTGACGAAAGTTGTAATCAAAAGGAGAAATTTTAAAAATGCATAAGTTATGAAGTTTAATATAAATTCAGTCACCCATTAAATTATTTATTTAGAATTTTAAAAAAGGAGCCAAAGTATTTCTAAGGTCTTCCTCGAAATGATAAACTACTTAATTTATATTTTAATATTATTTTTCATATCAATCTGTATTTTGATAATATTAAAAAATGGATCGAAAATAAATATTAGGAGAAAACATTTTTAAATAAGGGATTTATAGGCGTTTCTGCAAATAAAATATTAAAAGCAAAGAATTTTGAAAAAATAAATAAATAAATTGTACTTAAAAATTCTTTAAATGTTAATTGCGAATTAAACGTATGAGTTTGTATTTAATTTCATATTTAGATTTTTCGGCGTGCTCGGGTATGGTAAATCCCAAGTTGGCGACTTAAAGCCCATCCGGCTTCAGATCGATGAGTACCAGCTTGTCTGGGAAGTAAAGGAGGCATGTACGCAATGATGACCACATTGCCTCAATTATATAATTGGCCACGAAAATTTGGAGTTTTAACCTCCATGTCTCCCCTGGCCCATAATGGGCTGCTGCGGGTATGCTTTACTTTTTAATTTAGGTAAGGAAAAAAGAACATGCTAATAAAATTAAGGAACACCTGAGTTAAAAGGTAAAATTTTCATTTATTAGCACTCTTCTGTACCCGTTTTAACTTTAGAGTACATTTATAATACTAGTATATGTATAATTAAGAATCGTTCAAAATTAAATAAAAATAATATGCACATTAGGATTCAGTAATTGATATAAGTGAGAAAAACAAACACGTTTCTAAACTCAAAGATGAATTAGAATTATCAAACACCAGTTTATTTCTAAAGTAACATAGCTGCACATTTATCTTTTGTTTCATTCACAAGTAACCTGATTTTAGATTATTTTAATACCTCCTTTGTTTTTATTTGGTGCAGATATTTTTCATCTTGAGATTAAGAATAATTATTCTTAATGGCATAAATAGTGAAATTACTCTTACTGACATAAAGAAAGAAATTATTCTTATTGACATTCAGAATAAATTTTAAAAGTTTGAGCTCTTATTTTTCTTTTAAATAATATTTTGCGGTTTCTCACGCGTTTATCATTTTACTTTATTTTTTACAAGGAATATTCTAAAAAAAACGTATTAAGGGTAGTCATTACGATATATCTTGTTCATATATTAATTTCAGTCATCATTAACAAGAAAGAAAGTATTTTGGAGATAGTTTTCGACAAAAGAATAAGTAAAACAAAACAGATAAAAAATAAGCAAATAAAGTTTGTATATAAATTTTAAAACATTTATAGGAAAGACATGAATGATCTTGAGATCGAAACGAAATTTCTATAAAACTTTCACTAGTTCAATAATTATTATTTAAATATTTATTTGCGGTTTCTAATGTGTTTTTCTTTTCACTTTATTTCTTACCAGAATTTAAAAGAAAAACTTGAAGGGGGGTCATTACGATACATCTTGTGCAAATGTTAACCTCAGTCATCAATGTGAAAAAAAAAAGAAAAAAAAAAGAAAGAAAATATAGAGGTAATTTTCGATAAAAAAAATAAATAAGAAAAAAAGTTATTTTTAATGCATAGATATTTTTAAAAAACTTTAGAGGCATGACATGAATAATAACGAGATCGAAACAAAATTTCGATAAAACTTATATTATTTTAACATAATGCATACTTTTGTAATTTAAAATTTTGTGATAGTTCACAAGGAATTCCATTAGTTTCTTATGTATTTGAGCTATTAAAAGCAACTGGCATATTGGTGTAAACACTTAGTAATAATATTAAAAAAAAAAGTTGAATCCTCAATTGCAGCAACGAAGATACATAAATTGCTTGATTTTCACCACTTGATGGCAGCATGAAACATTTGCATATAACTCAATTAATACCTAAACATTTAATTTTTGATAGTTAAATAAACTACTTAACAAACATAAAGATTTAACCCCTTGGGGACGGAGAAAAGCATTCGTACAAAATCAGAATCAAGTTGTAATTAAATAAAAAACGGTAACTTAAATGTAGTCGTTGCTAATTTGACAGACTTACTTTGCTTTTACTTTAATTATTGTTAGTTTAATCATATATATAA